GCCAGTGAGCGCTGTGAGCGCACCCGTCATCCCTATATAGGATCCGAACCCGCGGCGGGAGTGCGCCTGTGCTCCCAGTGCCACACTCTCCCGAGTGCACCATGGGCTCAGCCCTTCCCAAGCTTCTTGAATAAAATGCATTGTGAAATGTTTTTGGAGGTCAGAATATGGGGCTTTCTTTAGGGGGATGCTCAGGCTAAATACTTGCAGAAGCCTCTTCTCCAGCGTCGAACAACAGGGACCACAGTGCAGGGCTGGGAGGCTTCTGGGGAGGCTGGGGTAAGCGGCCATCAGCATGCCGTATGAGCCCTGCAACCTGATGGCAGCACATTTTCCTTGCCTTTTCTCCTACCGTTGTCCATTTGTGAGTTCTCTACTCGCACTGCCTGGCTTTCCTCCTTTTCTCCCATACGTGCTACGTGCCGTGCACACCCCGTTCCATGCTCAGTACTCATGCTTTTCTCAGGCCATCCGAGTTTGAGACAGGTCCTCCTGTCCTTTGGCTCCTCTGTCCTCTCTCTGAGCTAAGCTCTCCTGATTGCTATTCCTGTAGCTTTCACTTGGCAATTGCTTATAATGAAATGTTAACCACATGCTATGCAACATGCAGACATGAAAATGTTATATTTTATATGCCCATTTCTTATTTTCTCAACTATTAATGGTGAGTTTAGTCATGAGGGTACACTTCTTGATATAATTCTTAATTGTGGGCAGAGTGAATGCCCATAGAAAGTGTCACACAGATATTGCCTGATGGATCAACAGAATGAATCAGTGAGTGCATGAATAAATGAACGGATAAAATAGAGAGATGTCTAGTAGGACATAAGGACGCTTCTTCCACTTGACTTACCTAACAATGGGGGTGGCATTTGGTCAAGGCTCCCATCTACTCCCTCCGTCTGTCATATTCCTTCCTTGCCTCCCCGGGACATATCTTGCTCTATCACTAGCTGATCCATCCTCTTGAGGGGGATGACCTTCACCTTAGTCATTCTGCTTCTCTCTGTTAAGAGATAACTATAAGACAAATAATGAACTGAATAAAGGATTAAGCACAGGAGTGGAGTAAGAAGGAAGGCAGTATAAGATAACTTGAAATAAATAACACCTTGAACTTTGTTAGTTTCATCAGTGGATTAGGTGGCTGTTGACCAGCCTGGAGGAATTACTTCACTAGTGTTCATGAGGATGCGATGAAGCGAGTCTTGTAGTCTCATGTTGACTCGCTTGGGACCAGAGGGTGGTATTTACATTTGGAATGCTTTAATCTGGGATGACCTGAAATAAGGCCTCCAAGGAAAAAGAAGGCAGTTTGCTGTGGTGAGCCCTGGAGGCAGCAGTGCCTGTCATGGCTCTGCTGTGCATAGGTTGTGGAGGTCAGGAAATATTCTGTCCCCAGACAGAGGAATTAGAGCCATTAGATTCTTGGTCTTCTAACGATGGATTCCCCACTGTAGCTTGGTCCTGCTGCATTGCTTTTTTCTAAAACTTGCTCTACTGCCTGGTTCGTTCTTGGAACAGCCTGGTTGTGAGGTCCCCAGACCACATTCTAGGCTGCCCAGTGGTCCTCTTGAAACAGTAGCACATTTTCCATCTGTGGCTCTCTAGAGAAAGATGCAAATGTACCCAGTACATGGTTCCCCAGGACTCGGGCCAATGTGGGAAGGTAGCTTGTGAGGGTTTCTTACTC